ATGATGATGATGATGATGATGATGATGATGGTGGTGGTGCTGGTGATGATGCTGATGATGATGGTGGTGGCGCCGGCGGGCAGCGCCTCACCCGTGGGGCGCGGCGGGCGCGGGGCGCGCGTGCGCGTCTCGCCGCGCGCCGCGCGGCCGCGATTGGACGCCGCGTCGGCCGTGTCGGCTTCGGCGACCTGGGAGGCGGAAAAGGCCAGAAGGTCTCCCTGGATCATCCTGGCCCTGCATTGCTTGCTGGCGAATTGGAGGTGGTGGAGCGCGCGAGGGCGCGTGGAAAAGTCCGTTGAGCAAGCTGGGCATGTCGTGCCAAGAATGTGATAGCACGCAAACATTTTTATGCTGTGGGTGCGCCTCCCGTGGGCGGCCAAGCCTTTTGGGCCGCGGCATTCCTTCTGGCAGTCAGGGCACATAAGAGTCGGGGCCGGCGCGAGCAGCCGCCCTGGCGGGGGAGGTTGCTTCCCTCGCTGCCGGCGCAGAGTCGACTGGGACTGCGGGGCCTCACATGGAGAAGCACGAAACGCATGACACCGACGTCTCCATCTCGCGGGCTCCGACGCTATAAACTGGCGCCAGGCACCCGGAAAGTGGAACGGGTCCCCGAAGGTCTGGGTTTCTGTCGGGAATGCGGTTGCCAGCTGCCTGAGGTCTGCCAGCAGCTGATGTGCCGATGCGAGCAAGGGCACGGCTGTGATGAAGCGTAGCACCAGCGGCGGCGCACGCAGCTGCGAGCCTAGGCCTGCCAAGCGTTGCGCACGCACCAGAGAGGCGAGCGGGGGCGCCTGCAGCGCGGTCCGCACCTCGAGGTCCGTCAGCGTGCCGGGGGCCTCGTAGCGCATCGAGCCGTGAATGCGGCGTAGCACTCGGTGGTACTGGGCCTCCAGAGGGAGCCAACCCTTGTCTATCTGACCTCGCCATGCCGCCACTGCGAACATGATGAAGATGATGGTGATGATGATGATGATGATGATGATGATGATGATGATGATGGTGATACTGATGATGATGATGATGACGATGATGATGATGGTGATGATGATGGCGATGGTGATGATGCTGATGATGGTAATGATACTGCTGCTGTCCATGATGATGACGATGATGATGGTGATTATGATGCTGCTCATGATGATACTGATGGTGATGATGTCGATGATGCTGATGATGATAATGCTTATGCTGTTGCTCATTACTATCCTTATTATTAACATTGTTAGTACGAGTACGATCCTGATTATAGTATTCGCATGCTGATGCTGCTGCTGATGCTGCTATGGCTGCTGCTCATGATGATGGTGATGACGATGATGATGATGATGATGATGATGCTGCTGCTGGCGGCTGGTGATGATGAGGATGATGATGATGACCATGATGATGATGATGATGGTGATGATGATGGTGATGCTGATGCTTATGCTTATGCTGCTGCTGCTGATGATGATGATGATGATGATGATGACGATGTTGATGATGATGCTGCTGTTGATTGTGATGATGATGGTGATGGTGATGGTGATGGTGATGATGGTGATGGTGATGATGATGATGATGATGATGACGATGATGATGATGATGATGATGATGAGGAGGAGGAGGAGGAGGAGGAGGAGGATGACGAGGAGGAGGACGAGGAGGAGGAGGAGGAGGCGGAGGCGGAGGAGGTGGTGGAGGAGGAGGGGGAGGAGAGACCACAGTGCTCTATTCTAAACGAAAACCCAACACACTTGGGTTAGGAAGATCAGGAAATGGTAGTTGATGCTGTTTTCGGCCCCCTCCTCCTCCCTCTTCCCTCCTCCCTCCTCCCTCCTCCTTCTCCTCCCTCCTCCCCCCTGCCACCCTCACTCCCTCCTCCCTCTTCCTCCTCTTGCTCCTCCTCCTCCTCCTCCTCCTCTTCCTTCTCCTGCTCCTCCTCGTCCTGCTCTTCCTGCTCTTCGCTCTTCCATCCTCCTTCTCCCTCCTTCTTCATTCTCATTCTCCTCCTGCTCTTCCAACTTCATTCCTCCTCCTCCTCCTTTTCCTCCTTTTCCTCCTCCTCCTGCTCCTGCTCTTCCCTCTTCCTTCTGCTTCTCCTCTTCCTCCGCCTCCTCCCTCCCCCAAAAAGGTCCGGGGGCAACCGAGTAAGTCCCCACCCTCGTCGTCAAGGGGGACCCCAGGGCGTTGAGGACATGGTCCCAGGTCCCTCGCCACGAAAGACGCCACCTGCCACCAGACACAGTGGCATTCCGCCTCTGAGTGAAGTTCGAACTATTCATTAAGTCATGCAAGGAAAAATGCAAGCAGGGGCGGCCCGGCAGGGGCAGGGGGGGGAGGGAGAGGGGAGCGGGGGGCGCGAGGCGGGGTCGGTCGGGGCAGTCGCGCGGGCGGGCGTGGTGGTCGATGTGGGGGTCGCGGTGGCCGGGGCCAGCGGCGGACGTGGTGGTCATGCTGCATGGCGTGGTGGTCGTTGTGGAGGACGGGCTGGGTGGGCTGATGGTCGGGCGCCGTGGTGGTGGTCGTGGTGGCTTGGCCGGTGATCGTGCTGGCGGTGCTCGTGGTGGAGGTGGTGGTCGAGCGTCAAGCTTACGGTGGTCTTGGTGGCCGCTGGTGGTCGTGGTTGTCGTGGGGTGGCCGCAGGAGTCGTAGTGGTCATGGTGGTGGTGGTCACCGTTGCTGATGGCAGTCATGGTCATCAAGGCCGCCATGGTGGTGGCCACGGCCGCTGTCGGTGGCCGCGGCGATGATCAGAGCGCCGGTGCTGGCTGGCCTCACGGCCAAGTGTAGTTCCTGAGCAGCATCTCTGCACTGTCGGTCTGCGAGCGCCGAGGACCTCGGCCCAGGGAGCGTCGTCGCGCCCACGACCGCAGGACCTGATGAACTCGACGGTCGTGCCGGACGGGCGGCCTCCCGGCTCCAACACCGAGGGCGCGCCGGGTTCCCCTGCTGCGGAGGGCAGCGGTCGCGCTCGTCGTGGACCATCTGCGCCGCCGCGACTCCGTCGTTGTCGGATCGAGCTCGCCTGCGAGAGCCGTCGGGGGCTGTGTTCGCAGGTTGCGATCCAATCCACATACACAGGCGGACCTGTGCTGGGGTCTTCTTCTGCACATGTCCAAGTTCGCCTCCTCCAAGACGCCCGTCCGCGGGTTCAGCCTGTCCCAGCCAGAAGCCCTCTGCTCCTTCGCGGGGTGTGTGTGGGGGGGGGCGTGCCAGTCCCGCATGCTGTCGTGGCGGCCTGTGCGGGACCCCTCAACAGGGCAGCAGTAGGCATGCCACCCGTGCGCGTCCAAGGGTCCATTGCACAGCAACCCAGTGTCGGTGTGTTTGTGCTGGACGAGGCCCCCCAGCGCCTGTTCCGCCTGTCCCGCAGACTTGGACCACCCGGTCGTCCTCTCCCAGTGTTTCCAGCAGGCGTTCCCTCCTGACCGAAAAACTTGCTTTACCACACTGCCCCTGCAGCTTCAGTTGTGTCTTCTGGAAGGTGCTCAGCCACTCGAAAGGGTCGTTCCCTATCGCGCCCTGCGTTCGCAGAGCTGCCTCCGCCTCCCGCAACGATTGGAACGTCAAAGGGCAGCTGGCCCGAAAGTCTTTCCAAGTAGCGAACCCAGCACCCTGGGCCACGTCCTGCATCACCAGCGCCCAGCTCGCGGCTTGCGCGGCCAGCGCTGTTTCCTTTGCTGAAGGGAGAGCGCCCCGCGTCAACCAGCCGCAAGGTGGCTTGCAGCTTCTGCGCGTCGTCCAGCGTAGCCTGCAGGAGGCAGGAGGTCTTCGAGGCACCCGAAAACAGCGTCGTCGGAAGGCGCCTGTCCACCCCATGTTGTGGTTGTACGCTGCGCGGATGTGGTGGGTCACCGGGCCCTGGGCGAAGGTGCGGAGGAGGACCCACATTCCCTCTGCGGAAAGCCCGGCAGCCGGAAGGTCTTGCAATCGAGCCCGAAAAGCGGTGGCCGTTGCCACAGCGGCAAAATTCCGTTGGGGCCAGCGTGAACCCGACCCTCTCGTCCTCCTGATCCAACCACGCTGCTGTGCTCCCAGGGCGCGTGGGAGTGTCAACCCGGGCTCGCTGCGCCGTCGGGGGCAGGGCTTGCGCATGGTTTCTCGTCTGGCTCACCCGGAGCCTGGCCTGCGTGAGCGCTGCAACAGCTATCTCGATGGCCCCGTCGGCCTGTCCAGGTGAGGTGGCCCAAGGCCGTGATGTCGTCGAGGTAGGCGAACACGCGGCACTCGGGGGACAGTCGCCGGAGAGCTACCGCGACGTCGCCAAGCGCACCCGCCGGAGCAATGGCGAATGATAGTAACCCATGGGGCAGAGGGCAGCCCTGGCCCACACCGCGCGTGGCTCGGATAGTCGGGGTCGGCCAAGAGGGGGGTGATGATTTTTTTGGGGGGATATCGTGGCGTGGGCCGTGATATCCCCCCAGATTTCATGGCGCCTTTTCTTATTTCATTACTTCCACGGCCCTCCCCTGGGCCGCGCAAATGCTGCCAGCCATGATTTGCGCCCCCCCGTCTTGGACGCCTCCCTCTTGGCCGCGGGCTGTGTCAGTGTCGTCCCAGAGCATGCGCGTGGTGGCATTCGTTCCGAGCCAAGCTTGCGCGACGTGGTACAGCTCGGGCGCTCTGGCTGCAACCCCATCCTTGTGTCGCCTCCGCGGAATCGAATTGAATTCTTTTGTGGCGTCAAAGCGAAGCACGACACTGTCAGGGCTGGCTTCAGCTAGCGCAGCTCCCTGCCTCCCTCCTCCTCCCTGTTCCCGGCCTCCTGCCCCGCGACAGCGACCACCTGGACGCCAGAGGCCTGGCCGGGGGCAGCTCTGCTGCGATCTTCAGACATGCTCGCGTCGTGGGAAAATCTCGGCGGGCTTTTGTTCCCCTGTTTTCGGCCTCTAGAGGCCCTCGCCGGTCCCCGGGACCGTGCACAAAAATGGCTCAGGATGAAGCGCCAGTCCCGTGGAGTTGGTCGAGACTCACGAGGACCTCGCATCATGGAACAAGAACAAACGTCGGATCTCCAGGTATAAGTACGAGCCCAAGAGCAAGACCTGGACGAAGCACGTGGTCGGGACCGTCGAGGGCGTGTACTTCGTCACCACGGCGGACGTCGACGGCGACGGGGCGGTGGACCTCATAGCATGCTCTCCCATCGAGGGCAAGGTGCTCCTGTGGAAGAACAGGGGCGAGGGCAAGGACGCCGATCGCTTCGATGGCCCAGAGGTCCTCACCACCGACATGGCCGGCGCCATCCACGCCTACGCCGACGACCTGGATGGCGACGGAGACACGGACGTGCTCGTGGCGGCGATGTATTCCAACAGGGTGTCCGTCTTCGAGAACCTCGGCAACGGAGATCCAGTGGGCTTGCGCCAGCGCGCCCGGACCCTCATGATTGGAGTGTCCTTCGGGTGCCTCGTGACAGGGGTCGACGCAAACGGGGGTCAGCCAGAGCTCCGGATCCTGCAGGATCCTGCAGAGCCAGGGGTGCACTGACGCGGGCTTGTGCGCAGGATCTTGCAGGATCCTGCAGCGCCTGACTGACCCGGGTTCGCAGCTTGCATTGGCCCAGGTTAGTGCGTCCCCGAAGTGTCTTGATCCTGTTTTTCTCCCGGCAGCCATCGACGGCTTCTTGTTCCCAGCTCTCCAGCGTTGTTGGGTCCTCGTTTCTTCTCCGCTGCGCTGTGCGAGGCCTCGCACTCTTTGCACGCCTCCTCCTCCTCTTCCTCTAGCTCCCTCTCCTCCTCCTCTTCTTCCTGCTCCTTTTCCTCGTCGTCGTCGTCGTCCTCCTCCTCCTTTTCCTCAACATCGACCTCCTCCTCCGTCTCCTCCTCCTCCTCCTCCTACCCTTCTGCGCGTTCGGGATGTTCTGAGGCTCGCGGGCGTCGCGGCGGCTTCCCAGGGGTCTTCTCGCCCCAGGATGCTTCGCAGCAGCTGCGTCTCATCGAGAGTTTTCCCAGGGTGCCCGGATCGTCCTCCTTCCTCCTCCTCCTCCTCTTCCTCCTCCTCCTCCTCCTCCTCCTCTTCCTCTACCTCTTCCTGCAAGTGATCTTCGCATCGTGTCATTTTGGCACACCCCTCGCAGGGATCGTGCCCTTTAGGAGGGAGCTCCACTTACGGCCCCAACGGCACAGTCCGCATGCCGCCACCCCGCCCATGTCGGCACACCCCACACGTTTCATCACTCCCTGGAGCTCCACCACAGGGCCCCAGCGACACATTCCGCATGCTGCCAACCCGCCCATTGTCGACATACTCCTCACACGGATTGGGCAATGAATCCCATTGCTCTGGGCAATTAGTGCGCAATCGGTAAGTCGAAATTGGCAATGCGAATCTTTTGTCGGACGCACTTGTCGGAGGCAGCTCACCATCGGCAGCGGTTTGGTTTTGACATACGCGAATTTGACTGAGGTTAACTCCTCGTTTCGAATAACCCTCGCTGCTCAATGACTTGTAAAACATTGCTTTGAAGCTGGCCGTCCAGAGAACAACCCAGAAGCACCACACGTGGCGCTCAGCTTGCCATTGGCTCATACAGTGGGTCTTCCTTTCCACATCAGCGGCTTGGGGGACCAGCGCGTCACACGCCTCTGGATTGTCAGGGTTCGGGCGGATTTCAGCAAGGAGCATATCATCAGCTCGGAGGCCAACGGTGCATCGTACGTTTCCGCAGCAGACATCAACGGAGACGGCGAATTAGACGTAGTCGTTGCATCACTGGCTGATGGAAGAGTAACTTGGTACGAGAACATGGGCAGCGCAACTTGCGATTGGGTCAGCACAGGCCCACACACTGCTTGCGGCGCGTCGGAGGATAAGAAGACGGCACCATTTGTGAAGAAGGCCGACTTCAACTCCTGCAAGACGAGCTGCGCAAAGAGGAAGACGTGCACGGGCTTCCAGTATGAGTTCTCGAGGCAAGCGTGCTCGGCTTGGAACGAGCCTCTAGGTTATTTCGACAAGGTCGAAGAGAAGGATAACCATCTCACTCAGTGTTACGTCTGTGCCCGTGCGGTCGAAGTTGTGTAGGTCAGCGCGCCGAGATCTGCCTAGGGTGGGTTGCGCAATTTATTTTCAAGCGGCTCGCTCGCGGGACAGTGGGGGGGAGGCGGGAGCCGGGAGGAAGCGGGCGTTCTGTATTGTATGTAGGGGCCAGCCCGGTCTATCGTAGGTTATGCTTGTCAGTACTCGGCAAGGGACAAACTGTCCCTGACGGCGAGTCGCCCAGCGCGTCCACGGCTTCACGTTTGCAAGAGTAGGCAGTGGTTCGTTCTTATCCGTGCTCCTCCTCGTCCCCCTCCTTGTCCTCGTCCTCGTCGTCCTCTTCTATTCCTTTCGGACTCTGCCTCATCCTCCTTGGACTTTCGCATCTTCTTTTCACATGTCTTCGCATGTTTTTCTCGCTGCATCGAGTGCAGGAGGTCCATGCACACTGCAGCAGTGACTTCAGGAGCGCAAGAGGAGCAAACACATGAGTTCGTGGTTGTTACGGAGGGGTGCGGACACGAGCGGAAAACAGCTCGGTTGAGAGATGGAGTAGTAGTAGTAGTAGTAGTAGTAGTAGTAGTAGTAGTAGTAGTAGTAGTAGTAGTAGTAGTAGTAGTAGTAGTAGTAGTAGTAGTAGTAAGTAGTAGTAGTAGTAGTAGTAGTAGTAGTAGTAGTAGTAGTAGTAGTAGTAGTAGTAGTAGTAGTAGCAGTAGTAGTAGTAGTAGTAGTAGTAGTAGTAGTAGTA